CATTTGCACGCGCAAACAAGCAAAACAAACACAAAAAAGGCACGCTAAGTAAGCAAAGAGGAAAACGAAAGAACCGCGCTATGAAAGCCAAAACCCCGCGTCGCTTCCTATCACTAACACCTACGACAGCTGCTAAACACACACTACTTCACTTCAAGAAGTCTCACTCAAGCACCTGGGTCAGCACGAAATACTGATCACTTCGGCGAAACGATTAGTAGAGGTAGGCGAGACAGGCGGGAGCAGAGACTTCGGCGGCCATGAAAGAATGGCGAAGCTTTTGTCTGTATGAATCCAAACGGAAGTGCCCGTTTTGTAAACCTTTTGTAAAGAATAATAGCTCTCATCACATGGGTTATTCTTTAAACGTAAAAATATGCTGCTCAAAAGGAAATTGCAACATATAACAAAGGTTTAACAACCAAGATCTAAGCTGTCAATCAAACTCTTAGCCAATGAGAACCTGTCGGGATTGACGTCACGTAATCACAACTTCGTGGCACGCGATTTAAAACGGACGAAATAGCCGCAAACTAAAATGAGTCTCACGCAATAAATATTTTGCTGTAAAAAATGTTTTTTCTCGCGGAAAATTTGTTTTTTGACATGCTTGTCCCAATTAGGCTATTTAAAAAAAAAAAACGTTTTTTTCTTTGCAGTTACCCTTGCAGTTACACTTGAGGAATTAGGTGCAGTCGATCGACGTGCGGATAGTCATGTTGGAACGCTGATCTGAACGGTAAGCTCCTATCGTACAATAGGGAGTTTTCGTAGACCGCGTTGCCCCCTCCGCTAAGCTTTCCGCAACGAAGAAGTTGCTACTGCGCCTGCGCGCCGATAGCCTTGACTGTGGAGTTCCCGCTATCGTAGCGGGTTGCGGAGGGCCTTGCGGGACGGCGAAAACGATCTACGAAAACTCCCTAGTGACCGATGTGACTGTCGATCCCCTAGAGCGATTGCGCTCTGGGGAAAAGACTGAACAGTACGAAGTTATGACGGAAAGTACGTATATTTACAATGGAATTTTACCATAAAAGAAAAAACAAAAACAAAAAAACAGGTAAAATCTAAAAAAAGAAAGCTGTCCTTTACTTCGCTGTTTAAATATACTACGGTTCGTGGAGAAACTGCCCTTCAAGTGGCGCGCTGGGATGAGCGCAAGACGTTTTCGAGCTCGCCACGGCGTAGTACACTTAACACCTGCCGCAAGTCGCGGCTTTGACTGCATTCAAGTTGATCGAAAAGCGATTTCTCTGCCCGTGAAGCATCACTTCCAGCCGAGTGAATATCCGCTCTGCAGAGATTAATTTAAGACGGCAATTGGAGCCGTGCGCGAACAGCACAAATAGAAAAACAACCACTACAATATAAATACCGGCTACGAAGTGCCGTGCGGGGAAACAAACTCATGGCTTGGAACCGCATTGGAGCGGCTCGATTTATTGGTTTTCAAATAAATACGGCGTGATCGAGCGTTTTCTTTTTAATAAGAGATTCTTCCCCTGAGCCATTAAAAATACTCTCAGATGTATGACATTGCTGGAAAGAAATCAACATGCTGGGAATATTGTTTACTGCTTAGGGAGTCACCGAGAAGTTCCGTACGCTCAAAACGACGAGTATAAAGGACGGCAACGCAGAGCTCGGGAGGAGTGATAGTGATCGGGTTAGTGTTTTGTTGTATTGATGTTGGTATGTGCGATGCATGTGTATGTAATGTATGTACAGCTGATGCTAGTATTATAAGTAATGTGCCTACACGTCTGAATAATAGAGGTTCCCGAAGATCCAGAAGCGCAATGGTGGCGTAAGAAAATAACATTTTTTTTGTAGAACATGAATTGGGCGGTGCCTAGCGCCACCTAGCCTAGTTACTTGCAATTACTCTGCTTGACCCTGTCATCTGGTGGCAAGCGATTTACCTCCTTTTACGCTACGCGCCTACGCCAGCTACGCTCTAATTTTCAGTTACCGTGCTGAAGTGAGCCAAGCGGCTGCTTCGGATTTGCTTTTTTTGAGAGCGGCGTTTGGTTTTGCGGGCGAATGGTTTACTACTCCTCCGTGATGTGCGGTTGACGCAACGGTTGACGAAGGAATTGTGGCTCGAGGAAGAGCAAAGGTAAGACATAAAGTGCGCGAACTGGGTGCCGGTTGTCTCCGTTTAACATCGCAGTGCTGACGATGAGAAGACTGAGTGACTGCATGCTTTCGAAACGTAAGTTTCTTTACCTGCAGAGGGAAGCCGGCTTCGGAAATAAATACAGTTCGCGAAAAGCTCTTGTTTTTATTTGCTGCTCCTCTCGCTCCGTACAATCGACTTAGTGTTCTCGTTAAGCCTTATTGAGCTCGATTTGCTCGATTCGTGGCCGCCATATTGAGATGCAGGCGACGGAGGAACTTTTGCTCTCCTGAAAGTTTCTAACTTTCTGAAGGAACCCATATGTATCAAGACCGTTCCTCCCTTTAGGGAGGACTATACTGACCCTTTTTTCTAAGAGTGTGATGCGAGTCGTTTCCTTTATGGTTCTCTTAAAGTGATATCTTTTTCAGCTAAGCACCAAAGCGCTGAGCCCAAAATGTGGTAAGCACCATTGTAGAAAACAATTCCTACTTTGCAAGTAGTCTACAAATTCAGATTTAGCTGCGTAGGTTTTGTTTTAGAATCCGGTCGTCTAAATAGCGTCCAGTTTCACCACCTTAGAAGAGCCAGCAGGCCACGGGAACCTCATCCACGTATTTTGACACCCAGTTACCGCATTTCTGTGTTCCCTTTTTTTCTTTTTTGTAACCCTCATGATTACCTAAAGAAAGGGGTTCATCTGCGCAACTTAGTCATCTTTAAAAATACAATTACGCGAAGGTTTTAGCCAAGGCTTTGAAACTACATGAAAATGCATAAAGGCACGGTAGACACACCCACGTATCAAGCTTCTTACGGTCCGCCAAACCATTACCTAAGAAAAGGTGAGAGGATGGTGGAGCGTAGTATTACGCAAAAGAAATATGGGATCTAGCGCGTCTTGCTTTGTGCGTGAGACGCACTGCCTCTGTATCGTCGTGTTTCCGGCCACTTTCAACGCGACCACTCGGCCAGCGGATGAGAACAGCGTGAGGAGAAACGGGAAACCCAAGCGCATTCACCTACATGGTAGACAGAAGACGACGCATGTATGAACAGCGCCCCCGGCCGGAGAGAATCAAGATGAATTCGTATGTCCTTTGGCCTGCAGCCCCTTAACCTTGGATCCAAACCTCGACTCTCCGGGCTGGAGATTGAGTTCACAGCTATCAAAACAAACACGAATGGTGTTAACCACATTGCGTCTGTCTCTCGCGTTGCACTATGGGGCATCTTTGACTTTGGAGAGGAGTGGCATGATTTCGATTGCAACTACCCCGTCGTCGAATTAGTGCATCTCAGCAGTGCAGGAAAAAAAAAATAAATGGCTGCAGGAACCACTATTGTGGGTTGTCTATGAATTGCGATAACATTCGTCATGAGGCTCATGACGCTGCTGACTGTGAATACGACAGCGCAAATTTTGGGCGAACAGCTTATTTTATGAATGGTTTACGCGCAGTCATTGACGTAAGCGCGACTGCAGCGCGCCACTTGGAAATTGAGAGATTGCGTCATCTCTTTGTATTTTTTTTCATCTTCTGTCTCTGTGTGGGGACATACGCTACCTTTCGAATCTCCTCCGCGTCGTCTCATGTGTTGCCGTTTGTTTGCTTTAAATGAATGCTACTTCAAAACTCCCGTTGCAAGCTGATCGGAAGGGAACGCTCGCCCCGGGGTGCGATACCTTCTTTCACTTTATAATGGACCGTAGCGAATGCTATGAACCATTCCAACCTTTCGATGCCCATAGACTGTGCTACGCAACCTGCTCGTCCCTATGTCATTCCAGAAGTCATGTGAGACTCCCGCGACTTTGGCTTGGATGATGACTCGTCGCGCTCTCCAGACTTCCGGCCGGTCCTTCAAAAATTTGATGGCTTACAATTACAAATTAATCAGCCACACACGAAATTCATTATTGTTACTAATTCTGTAAAAATGTAGTTGATTCTCTTCCCCGTTTCGCTACAAGTTAGTTCAACGTTTCATTGTCTAAACCCTTCTCAAGAATTAAAAAAAAAATTGATGGTCTAATAGATTTGTATTGTCACGCTGCTTTCAATATCTCACACTGTCACGTTATTGGTACCGTTCTAAGTAATAAAAAAACGAAAGATACATATTGTGTCTCTCATTAGTCGGTGGCAAGTTTAAACATGCTCTAGAAGCTCTGCCTCGAGTCAGTGCACTTTGCGCTCCGTCGTGCTTTGGTTGAATGCTGGAAAATACAACTTCTGCTTTGGCTACAATAGCTTATACCGCTGTCAGACAGTAAAGTAAATGTCCTTTTGATCGAATGTCATTCACCGCTCGACGAATCGGCTCGTGATCCTGGTTCTGCATGTGGCGCGTGCATGCGCAGCGTGGCGTGTTAAGCACGTGGATTGGCCGAGCTGTAATGTCATTTTGCTTAAATGTCATCTAACGTGCCCGTCTGGCAGGGGTATAAATTGCTTGCAGGCTGTAGTTAGAAAATGGCGTAAGCCATTGCTTTCTTCAGACTGCGTTCGAGTGTGCGTCATTTCAGCAAACGCTTCGTTGCCATAGGAATGGTAAGCATAGCAGACGCACTTCGTCATTGAGAAGGAGACGCTGGTGTGGCGAGATCAGGTGCGTGTCACAACTTCTTTTTTTTTTCCTGTGCTTTTAAATGGGTCGAACCTGAACAAAAAGTGTTCGACATGAACACTTAACTCGAGCGGCTGGTTTTGTCCAGTGCCTATTATCTTGACGAACCTTACACAATTAAGAAGCATGTTTTGTTGGCCATAAGGCAGCAATCTTGTTCTTCAAACAATATCCTAAGGTATCACGCTGCCAAAAGTGTATTCCACTCCAATACTGATCAATTCGCGCGACATTTCCCAAAAGTTATATATTTTTTAGCAAACATATATTTATCTTTATTTCCGGGAATGAGCTCACACAACAATGATGGATGATACAAATTTAAGCTGTTCGCGCAGCATAATCGGTGACCTCTTCCACAACGTATTAAAACCGGAACATTCCTTCCGGCTTCCCGGCTTTTACCTTCGCCATTTGTCCGTCATCGAACGCGAGGGACACATCTCAGTTTCACTGGCTCAGCGGATTGCAGAGCCAAAGATCTTGCCTGTAACTTCAAGGGCACCTAAAGAAAATAAGAGTAAAATGTTGACAACACTATTTCTGACGGGAAGAACAAACGCGTATGAGCTCTAGCAATTGAATACCGGTTTTCTCCAACAGAAGACGCATTCTGCCGGCGTTTGGCATGTCACTGAGAAGTCCGTCATTTGTTAAATTACCCTACTGTATTGTGCGAATATTCCCCAATCAGGTATTTAACGAACACGGACTAAAACCAGTGTCGGGCGGGCACGTTACAGGCCTTCGTAACAAAGACACAGAATAAGAATTTCAGAATCGGCGAGTCAGCTCGCGATCTCAAGGCAATCGGCGTGCGCACATTCGCTCATCTTTTAAATGGGTTTGTTCTCAAGGCCTTTAACGTAGCCTTCTGACAGAGGTAGGTATGTTATACATTATTTATACTGTGGAGAAGCCGGTCGCAATTTGCTGAGTGTTAGTAATCCGATAAATCGACCATTATGTGATGGCTAGCAGCTTTGAAGCAAATGTTGCGGTGGTTTTCATTGAGCCGTGAAGTCTTAATTTAATTTGTAAAATGAATAGCAAGGCGGTGAGGTGGATTGTTTCTGGTTCATGAGTCAGCTAAAAAATATTTGGTAACGCTACGCGGTTTAAACACTTAGGCGTGAAGAAAACAAAGATCTGACGAAACCGACTAGACTTCGATCAGGTCTGAATAACTTTGCCTGCTATATTTATTTTATAATTACATTTACAGCATTGTGGTCAGCCATGGTTAAGGAAGATACGTTCTAAAAAAATAAAATATTTTATGCAAACCTTTCTTAATTTTCAACTATAAGTGCCGCAATAAGGTTTCGTGCACTTTTCGCCCACGGGGCGTTTTTTTTGTTGTGATTTTTGTTTGAAAAAGGTTTGAAACGGCTGAGCCAGTTTATGAGTGCTTACCACACTACCTCTATATTTTTGTCACAAGGAGTCGCAGTCACTTTCAATTTTATTTCTTGGTACCATGTCGATGTTCCAAAAATTATGTACACATACCTGGGTTTCACTGCACCTCTGAAATCTGATCTTTTGGAGAAGACAAGCAAGCGTCGCCTTAGTTTGTATCATTCCCATCCTCTGTCCGACGCAGTTTCGGGGCCCGGCACCAAACGCCAGGTACGTGTACGGGACAAGAGCCTCCTTGTTCTCTGGCAGAAATCTAATTAAAAAAATGTGATCAGTCGCCGAGAATTAAGGCAACACTGCAGGCTAGAAACGTACAATTTGAAATAAAAATACATTAATACTGCCCCCAAATTGTAGATTCGCGCGTGTTTGATGACACAAGCAGGTTCTACTAAAAATGAATGATGTGCGTTCTTTCTTGAATGATTCTTCAAGAACACTATTTATGAGTACAGTGACACGCATGCTGATTCGGATTATGATAACGAGCATCAGGTCTGTATATTTTTTATTAAGGTATAGAATCGAACACAAGTTTAGTTCAGATTCCAACCATGCTTGCTGCTTAAACACATCACGGAAACCGGTTAGGCCATAGAACACCTATGACTTGAAGAGCTGTAACTCTTCAAGTGTTACTGTTTGTACCTAATTTATCACCCGGCTGGGAGATAGGGAGAATTAAATAATAATAGAAATGAACGGATTTTTTCTTAACAGGATAGGTTTCATCTGTGGCATGGCCTTCTAATGCTGGGCTTATTAAGATTTATATAAGGATTTTAGCGCTTTACGGCCTCAGTTTTATATATCCTATTATGCAAAATAATGTGCCCTTAAAACATTTTTATAAATAGAAAGTTACATCGACTTTTAGACAAAATGTCGTTTCAGAAGAGTTTCATGAGGGTACTACGATACTAATGTAAAGAAACATTAATGTCGTAGTACCATTCTGTGAAACTTTTGTGAAACGATCGTTTCGCTTAAAACTCGATATAACTTCCTATTTATAAAGAAAGCATATTCCTTTGCATAAAATAATTTTAAGAATTGAGGGTAAAATGCGCAAAATATTATTTTATCTCATTGCCCCGAGTATGATAGATTCATATCGCCCAGTCCTTATAAAATATTACACAACACTAAAGAGACTGCCTGTTGTGGTTTTTTTTGTAAAATACTACGACGAAGAGTGAAACCAGAGCTGTTACCTCAGTTCAATAATGCTTTTGAGCCATGTCCATCTTTAAAGTCCCAACAGTGCTCGCTGCACTTAGGTGAATAAGAAATTACATGACAGAGTAGGCATACACGCAACTGATTAGGACAACCCTCGTTGTAGCTAAAAATACCGTAACTATGCAATTTTCGTACACCCATTATTGCGAATTCTTGAGAGGGGATGAACTTTAGAAATTCAATTCCTCCGTTCAGGGGCTAGGGTGCAGTTATAAGTTTCTGTTGAGTGTGCCGCTTTTGTGCTCGCAATGTGTAAAAATTTTCGAATGGAAGCACCAACCTTTCTGGCTTGAAGCAATCGGGTTCGGGAAAAAATTCCGGGTCGCGATGCATGCCGTGAATCGGAATTTCAATGGACATTCCGGGGTGAATTTTTATACCAGCCACTGAAGTCTCCTGGGTGCATCTTCTTATTGAGCTGAAATAAGTTGAGCTCGCATTGAACACCAGTGTCGTTCATATTTGCGCCAGCTGACGAGGGTTGAGTAATGTTGTACACTTCCGAATCAGTATTATCGACACACCCAAGCCAATCCATTAAATAATTCAGAATCTGGATCAACACCTTTGCAGCATTTATAGAACCCCTCCCCCCATTTCTGCATAATAGATTAATATACGTCATGCACACGCATGGATGAGTGTCAGAATTTATATTCTGACACTCATCCATGCGAATCCCAGCCACCTGAGACTCCACAAGCGGCCTGTTCCTCAAGCGAGTTCCTTTATATTTCTTCATATTACAGTTTATACATCTCAAAAGAGACACACTTACAGTGAGTCGGGTGTGTGCAAGCGCAAAGACTCGTTGATGACAGCTTCCAGATATGGCATGTCCTTGATAGATTCGTAGGTGACGCCATTCTGTAGAAAGGGGACGGTGCATTCTTAAACATATACGTATCATTTATGTAATACACGTTCTGCATGATTGTAACCACGCAAAAATGATTCTTTATTCACACGCGCTTTCCATTTTCACGATCACGAGGCCCCACGCAAAATAATCTTACTTCTGTAAATGATTTCCTAATCTAGCTATCCAAGTATAGAAATATAACTTTGTTAAAATTTGTTGCAAAGAAGCAAGTGTAATAAAAAATGTACAGGCAATACAGATATTATTAACACTCAGCAAGATAATATGCATTCCCACAAATCCTGCTTTTTTCTCAGAAACGGAACTTGTGTGAATACTGAAGTAACTGAAAGCTATTCGCGGGATTTTACTCGAAAATTGAAAACAATTATTGCCCGTGACATGTATACAAAGTGTGCTGAGGTAAACAAAAACAAATCCGAACTTCTGGAGGACGTATATTACTTCCGGTTGGCTAATGTTTTTGCTTGTTTTCGACCACCCTCAGGGAGTTGCCATGCTTTGAAAGTCTCACCGCCGTTGTCTAGCTGCCATACCTCCTGAAATTCACTTATAATGGAAGGCCATCACTTCCTGTTCCTTTGGGTGAAAAGAAAGAGGGCTTGTTCCTCAAGGAAATGGCAAATCTGCCGAAGGTTTCGTGGGCGCATCTTAAGGACTACTGATTCCTCCAGCCTGGTCCGTATACCTGAGAATAACTTAAAACCTAGAATCTCCGAAAGGTGATCAACTACTTCGTGAACGGCAAGGCATCGGCGTGAAATCACCTACCTCCACCAGGCGCCGAAGGCACGCGCCTAGCTTTCCCGTAAGGGTCGCCGAGCCAGGTTTTGGTTTTAGCGAACAATCTTCTGAAAGGATTTATTAAGGCGAAAGCCTTATATGTATCATCGTTCAGTCGACCTTCAAAGTCCTTAAGCGAAAACACGTCGGCGACACGAAAGGTACCAAAACGAAAGGTACCAATGGGCGCGTTAAGTCCGCTCTCCTTTACTCCTACTCCGACGCTCCGAGTTTCATACTCCGAGCGCAGCAACTAAACGGCGCATGGCGTACAAGAGCGCGACACACCAAAACTGTCGACGAGCCACTCGAGCTCCTTCCGACCGCACGGTCATGACGAACCCGACATCTCGTGGATACGGGTGGCAGAAGCCGAAATCATTTCGGAGATAAATTAAATATGGCCACCGTGAAGCGCCAGAATGTAAAACAAAAAAAAAAAAGAAAAGAAAACGGCGACGTTATGAAATTTCTACGAGCGTTTTAATATTACTGAAAGGTATGAAGACTCGTTTCGAGCACATATGTAGAAAGTTACATTGGCCGAAACATTTATTTACCGTGCATGCTGCTCATATTTAAATTAAAGACAACATTCCTGAACTTGCTTGTTGACGCAGGAAGCCCTTAAACTTGCCAGATATTTTGTGGTTACGTCTTGCAGCGCGCGAGACGAAAGTCGTCGATGTGCCACGCCGATACCGTCACATCGTTGTTCAATAGATTGCACGTCAGTTCGTTTGCAGCCGAGATGCATGACCAAACATTTACCGCTACGCTCACTGATGATTTGGCTTTCCAATGGAAGTATATTTATTCGCTGGGCTGAGCATTATAAAAGGGGCAGCGGTTCGAATGTCTCCTCGCCTCGACAACTTTTCTGTGGCTGTGCTATCGACGGGCTACCGTCTGACAAATGTTTTTTTTCTTTTTTTTTTTTGTTAGGCGAGATGGACGAACAAACCAAATCAAATTGGTTTTACCTGCCCGATTAAGCACTAATCAGCTAAAAAGGCGTAGCAGTCTGGCTACACCTTTCGTCACGACGGTATCAACAACAGCCCAGCCATCTTGTTTGTTTACTTGACGTCACGTAGCGCGAAGAACTCCCTCGCGCTCCGAGAAATACTCGGTGCACGAAGAGCGCGCTCGAGTGTTTTAAGCGGCACTCTTGTCCGTTTAGGAGCCATGGCACCGTCATGACTTCCGAGATCCCAAAGCTCGCGAACGCTTCTCAAAACAGGAAAGGGTGTAATCGGAAAAAAAAAAAAAAAAAGAGAAGGCGGCGGCGTCTCTCCGCTGGGAGGCGCTCTCAACTCAGTCATCGACAAGATGGCGCGAGGGAGAAGACTCCAAGAAAAAGTCTTGTTACGTCGTGTCACTGCAACTTCTACTTACAGATGTGTGTATACCGTGGTAGGACGGCGAACAGATGCTTTAGGGAAGTAGATAGACAAGTTGTGATGCTTATATAGTTTGAGATATTCATCTGGACATGTGGCGGCTAGCGCTACAAGCGCGCTTTTCGGTATATTTGACTGCAAGTTGTAGCGCGTACAAAACTCCAGAAAAAGATTAGCTCCATACATAAACAATTTAGATATCCCTAGACGAAAACAATTGCTCGTCATCTTGTAAACCCTGAGATGGGGAACGATAAAAAAACGGACGAACAAACCAAACCCCATCTCAGGGTTTACAAGATGACGATTGATTAACCAGCTCGCCTGCACTCTCTCACTGCTAACAATTACTGTGCTTTTTAGTCTGAGCACGAGGTTTGATACTGTATGGTAATATTTATCACGCAATTTTTCCGGGTCATAGTGTGGTATTGACTTCAACTAGAAGTATGTACCTTTAAGCCGTGGTCACAATGTTTATACATTCAAAAGGTGGGGAGTTATCTTGTAAACGTCTCGGTTACTTGGCGCCGAGGAGCATGCATGCCGCGTCTGAGGCATCTGTACCGTCGGCGGCCGCAACCTCAGCAGTAGCGAAATGTGGCGGTCCACGCCAGTACACAGCAAACAAAGTAAGGGAGGAGACGAACGACGTTCATGCTTTTGCATTCACAACTCATAAGAAGTGTTTAGGTGCCCTGGGAATGTTTTTAATATTTTTTTATTATTTATTACGCAATTTATGAGGGTCAAACTGCGGTGTTTAGTTCTACTAGAAGCAGCTTTAAGCCGGGGTCACACTGATTACGCATCAAACAAAAAACAGTCGGCTGATGTCAGTCGCCACGATATTCGTGGTTCGAATGCCGCGTGCCAGGTGTCCCCTTGAATTCGTTGCCCCGCGGCATTCGAAGCAGAGATCTGGTGATGATTCGCGTTCGAATCTGTTTGCAGACTGTCTTTGTATGATGTATAAGCTGTATGACCCCGGTTTTAGGGAAAACATTATGGCGCTAAGATAGAACCACCGCGATGCGACTTCGCCTATTTTTTTAATAAACTTCGTGATAATTGTGGGTACTAAATAAAAAAAAAATAGTGCGTTATCTTCTAAACGTCTAGTTTTTGGCACATTTAGCACAAACCACTGCATCCTCTTATGCACCTTGTGGTCTAAGTTAATTGATATGCAAACAGACAATGGGATCTCAAGAAAAATAACTCTGACCATAGCCTCCTTTATACTGATAATGCCTGCCCAATGGTTGGCTTCACCATGCTTCGTCGTCGTCGCGCCTGCTTCGCATGTTTGCTGCTAGAGGCGCCAAACCCCATACAAAATGCAGACGACTCTTCTTCGCTGCCTGTTGCTAGTCCACTGTGATGCCGTTTGTGAATTGAATTCATTCGTAACCCATGCTACATACCAGGCGCAGGGCGCCGTCAGAATAGATTTTATATATAAATAAGTCTAATACCTTTCTTTTAGCTTTCACGTCTTGGTTTTGTTTGTATGCTGAAATGTTACCAGACCTCTGGTGCTTGTCGTATCGACAACAGAAATAGTCAATGCCAATTAAAAAGGAGACAGACAGGCTGACGGACTTTCACGACGTTGAAGCAGCGACCACTTTAGAGTTTTTATTGCTATGGAGCACAGCCGCAAAACATACGGCCCGCGGACTACATGCGGCAGTCATGTGGTTTTTCTCAGGACCGCGTACGCGTCCCCGCTGACCGAAGGCCTGCGCACCCGTCGGCAACACACTGACCGGGGGTTCTGATATACAATTCCAATTTGTTTTTTTAAGTGCACAGCCCCTTGATGGTTTTGACCGGTCTGTTGTGGTCCGCACTGTTTCTCACGTATGCAGTTCTAGAGTTTTTTTAACGGCTTCGTAGATTGTGGCTTGTTTGGTGAAGATCTTCTTGGAGTCATGCTTGTCAGTCACGGATGTCGAGTAGTTTGTGAAAATTGGCCTGAAATATCTAGTACACAGAAGTTGCAGAAAATCTTTCTGATGGTTGACATCTTTCTTTACCTTTGCGTATTTCAGAGCGCCATGGTGTATAAAGCCTGGTTCAGACAGTTGCGTTTGACTGCGTTTGACTCCGTTGCGGCTACGAGAAACCAGGACATCCCTGCTGCTTATATCGCGTGCCAAGATGATTCCTTGAATTGGATTCCACGCTTCATACGAAGCACAGATGTGTCGGTGACTCGCTTTCGGTTCTCGACACAACGCAGTCAAACACACTCAAACGCAAGTGTCTGAACCGGCCTTAAGAGTATCCACCGCAGTATCACCAGCTGCATGCTAAGGCTTTTTCATTTTCCGCATATTTCGTTTGTTTTTTTTTTTGAAAAATCTTTACAAAGTTTTTCAGCGCATGCAACACCCTCACTAGATCCACTGATGGATAGTATAGTCCTCTCCTATCCTGGTGCCTGAGGAGGGAATTACCAGGAGCCATAGAAACCTGTTTAATGACCACTAGGAAGTGCAACTCGCGAGTCCGAGTTGCACATTGGCACACACCAGTAAGGTATCATGCGACTTAGAATGCAGCACGAAGAGTTGGGGCTAAGTACAAGGTGCTGATGTGCCCATGATCGATAAATGGAATGAAATGACCGCGCCTGTACGTGTGGCGTCGCGGTGCGCGTGCCACGAGCAGCAGACGGCTTCGTGCTATTGAGCTATGCCGGCAATTGCTAAGCGCTCTATCTGCGGGTCGAACGACGACCGAAAAAAAAGTGACTCGCGTCACAAACAAATTACGTGATCAAGTGACCTATTTGATCACGTAAGGTCACGTTACCGCGTAACTTAACATAGAAAACTTACGTCATCACGTAGCTTAACGGATAACGTAGCTTACGCTAGCTACAGTGAACTGTAGCAGCAGGCAGCGGACAAGCGTCGTCTGCATTTCTGTATGGGGTTTTGGCGCCCCTAGTAGCAAATCTGTGAAGTAAGCGCGACGACGACAAAGAAACCATTGGGCAGGCATTTTCAGTATAAAGGAGGCTATGCTCTGACGTATCTATAAATTCCATCCTTTTCCGTCTTCCAACCTGCTTTATTTACATATTCCAAGCCTTGAATTTTCAGATTAGACGCGAAGAATTTTGTGGTGCATAGGCTTCAAGCAGTGGTGCGCCACACTGGCGGTCATAGTCATGCCCATGTTCTCCATCAATGGCCGTACAGACTTCTCCATTACAATCCGCACGTTGTTTGACGAAGATTGTTGAGACTGAGCGCAAGGTTTGGTACTAAAAAGTGCAGACCTCGTGTCGTCCTTCTCCTTATATTTTGTTACTGTTTATTACGTAAGTGATGCAGGTCATATTGTTGTTTTCTTGTACTATGAGCACGTTTAGGACAAACATTATGGCGGCAATATACGACCCACACTGGGGATGCAGGCACTCGTAACACACAGATGGTTTACGCCGGTTAGGGTGAGCATTGTGTAGGCGCGTGTGTGTGCGTGCTTATGGGTGGAAGCGATATTATGATGGCGGCGCTGCCGGGGACGAAAAGGAACGCAGCGCCGCTGTGCTCAGGAAGAGCATTCGCTGCACACACACCGAACCTTACAAAACATATACGTGCACACACACATGCTTCAGCATTGTTCCTCCCCTACTTTGGTTCCTCTCCCAACCCCCGAGCAAGCTTCCAATAAACATGCTGCTAAAAAAGAATAATGGCCGGCTTGGCTCGCTTTGTAGACTTGAATGCAAGGCCCGTATCGGACCCGGGCCCTTTTTGAAAGTAGCATTGAAGCGCGAGCCCGGCTTCACCCGCGCCCGCGGGCTTTTTTTTTGTTTTTTGTTCAGAAGCGCGTGAAAGAGCGTCTCCCTCCACGCGTCTGTGGCGCTGACTGTGCTATGGCGACATTTTGTTTTCGTCGATTTCTTTGTATTTTCCCCGTGAGCGCGTGCTGTCGGCATCGGGTACTACAAAGGATGGCATCACTCTAAACAGAAGGTCATTGAGGCAGCCTAACCCGTACCAGTGCGGATCTCTACCTGCGACGCTGACGGCTCGCCCCTCTATTACGACTGGGCGGACATCGCCACCTCGCGGCTAGCGACGGAGTTAGCACAATTGCAATCGTACATGGGACGGCCGGAGAAGCCTTCGTGCGCGCGATTCGGGATTGCTGAGGCCGCGGCACCGTCTGCCAATACCATCGTTTTGCGATTACCCAGGCTCGGCGGCGTCGGTGGCGTCCCTCGTTTTGAGATGCTCGAAATAACTTCACATGTAACGTTCTGTTTGTGCTGGTACGCACCGGCAACGTAAACGCACGATCACTGGGCATTTCTAGAGTGCAGCTCTCACGGGATTGCTTGCTAGCGAAACAAGGGTCGTCGCGCACCCACCCAAATATGAGGCAAATACAGGAGAACCGGAAGTATTTCTCTAACCCCTCCATGGTGGCCGGAAGTGCCGCGCACACCCTGTAGAAAAATTAAGACTAGGACAAACTACAAACACAGGTAATCTTTAATTCGTTGATTTTCAGCTATATATTATTCTCTCCCCAATAGTAATATAAGACGTATCCATAATGTAAAACAGCAAGTCCCACTGCATCCCATACTACAAGCATCACTGATTACCATTTCATGCGTGCTTTCAAAACATGCCATCAAGGCCACCGATGTGTCTTCAGGCGGATCCTTATTGAACATTTTCTGCGCCAATTTCTGAACTATAGCCACTGGCACTTTAAGAAGCGGAGGCCGTGGTTAATTATGGTTCCGCTTGCTGCTTCGTGAATCGTTATTGGGCTTTCTTATTGGCTAACGCCGCAATAATTATGGCCTCCAAACAGCAGGGCGAGCAAGTGTTCCAAAGTGCGTATTTTGCGCAAGCGAACGAAAAGGGGAGCACGCCAATGAAAAGGCGACGTAGGGAAGGCGCGATGACGAGGCAGCCAAGCGCGCACCGCCATTGGTTGAGGTCGAGAAGAAACAAATGCACGTGGACGCGTACCGTGGGGTAAACAAGCCAAAAAGGAGACGAACTTGCAGGCCGTGTAGTCTAAAGCTCGACACTTGCCACGCCCCAGTTCAGTGGATACCAGATATTGAAATTAAAAGTAAGGGATATCGCTGTTCTCAGTGATGTCTATTTCATGATGTTTCCGAATTTTTTTAGAGAACACAACGTGCGCTGCACGACAAGCTTCACGCGAACAGGAGAACGAATTTTCTTACTTTCGAGGTTTACAGCGAGATTGCGTTAAGGAATCGCCAAGGATTAATCCTTAGGTTTGAGCCCCAAAGAGCACTCTAAACCAGACGACTAGTTTTGATGATGCCCTGAGAATTGAGAAAGAAGAACAAAAACAAACCATCAATCTGTTGTTTGAATATCCGGTGTCACTCCCTGTATTTAGTAGACAAACTTTTTTCCTGATGTCTTAAATTAATGGTTGTCCTAATGTAATTACAAACGAGGCTTTCCCAGGGGACCTGTTGGCTTTACTATAGCTTTGGTTGCTTCTAGATGGAAGAATTCACCATTCCTTTCTTTTTATTTTGAATGTAATCATCGTTCCCATACTCTTTCTGCCACTCGGACGAGTAGATCCGTTATGCTTATTGTGAATTTACCTGTTTTACAGCACTGTCGATCTCTTCGATCACCTTTTCTTGACACTCCGGGTGTAAGGCGAGGGAGTACGCCGTCCAAGTCAACGTTATCGTGATGGTGTCACTGCCGCCGATGAAGAAGAGCATGCATTGCGCTGCGATGTCTTCTATTTCTGATTCTAGAAGAAAAATATTGGGAGAATAAGTTCACAGGCATTACAAGCATCTGCTAACGGTGTGTTAATTGTCTGAATTTGCATAATGAACGAGTGTTCTTTGGCAATCCCGTGCTCTCGAGGCTTTACAACTTGCGAAATTTGAAACAACCGGAGATGGACGACATTGTAGACGGCACGAAATGTTGAGGGTCTGTGCAATATTAGATCGTGGAAAGCAATTCTAATAAAAAAATTATAATTTTCCAGCTTTTCTCTTTTTCCTCGAAAAATTGGCGACCCGAAAGAGAGATTTCCAAGCCGTTGGTGATTCCTCCCTTTTCAGATCTGTGGCGCATTGACACCGTGAACTCTTACAGCTAGGTAAGCAATTTTTATACATTGAGCGGCGCATCCTGTATGATGTTCTTCTGATATGGCTTGAAACAATGTGCGACCCATATACTTCGAATGTGAGGGGCTATTGCTGGGGACGTCTGGGGTGACGTTTAATCGCCCATCACATAGCACACTGTTCCTCTGAAGTCTTTCACCAAGAAATTGATAAGTTTGTCATTTCTACTTACTTTTTTTTCTAACCGTCTTTAAGGCGCCTAGGGACTACATCAACTGGTAAATGCACCGATAGAGTTTTCAAACTAAAATGAAAGCGTCGACTACCGAGGGAGACGCAGCGCGGTCGCTCAATGAGAAGTAACGACGAACTGTGATATCAGCTTCTTTTCTTAAAGGCCGACGACCAGACTCAAGATTCTGCAAGGCAGAAAATCCCCCTCGCCTTGGGGGACGAGGAAAGAGGCAATGGCACCATTCAGTAGCTGCAGTGCTATTTATCTGAGACCGCCGTAATATGGCCACGCGCCCTAAGCCTGAAATATTGAACAGGAGTGGTAAGTGGGGGTTCGGCGTGGACACGTGCTGAAAGGTATTGGACACGACCACCGTGTCAGCTTTGAAAGTGGTCTCCTCTATAAATGACACGCTTCGCGCAAGAGTCGATGCTTAAACACGGTGACCGCCAAAGATTGCTTGATGTGGGTTTGTAAATGGAGGGCATGCCCTAAAATCAAACTAACAGGCACGTGGAAATAACCCTCCCTATGAGCTCGCGTAATGCGCGGGAGCTTAAAGTATTAATTTCTAAAGTCGTTAAACGTATTTTGATATTATACGGTGTTGCCCTACTCTGATTCAAATGTGAATGGTGACACCGGGAACACACCTTCTGCCAAATTAGTACGGTTGGTTACGCGTTTCCCTCGCACTCCCATGGACGGGTTTAATACAGCCAGGAATATGTAATTTCGTAGCACGTCAGTCATTTATTTTGTGCCTCCGGGCGGGGCCTTTGGTATCAGTCGATAGTTGCTTCGTTGTTCCAGTTTACTTTCTCCAAGAGCGTATGTATTAAAGGCGCGTAAATTAGTCGAGATAAAATTGCATACCGGATATTTCGAAGTTGTCAGGGCTCCGTTCACGCATCACAGTATCGAGGCAGAGTTGAAGGACATCCTCAAATTTCTGGAGAAACAATACCCAAGAATATTATTTTGCCGTCTACGCAAAATATCAAACGGAACAATATAAGTCAAGTGAATATATGGGCGTGAATACACACTATTTTTAAAGTTTGTTGTTAAAGGGACAATACCTACCATTAATCGAATACTTCTCATTGACTATTTGCAATTGCTGTCAAAAATAATTAAGAGAAAAAAAGAGAGAGAAAGGAAGAAAGAAAAAGAAGTGATAAAAAACATTTTCCATAGATACGTTGAAGTCCAGCAGTTGCTAGTCAACTTCAGTTATAATTTACACAAAGCCCGCCGCCTTTCTGCACTTGTAAAACAAAGCTATGCGCCGAGAAACTGAGAGAGAGGAGGAGGAGGAAACGAGTGCGCTCGGTGACGACTGAATGCCGACCTCTGATTGGAACGATTAGTGGGTAGACCTAAAGCTAGCTGCCTTTGTGTCCACAACAGACGTCGAACGCGTTCAAATGCGAGAGGCAAACGCCAGACGCCGTCTTTCCGTGCTTCATCGCGTAGGACGGGTGCAGTGGAGAGAAAGGCAGCTAGCTTTAGGTCTACCCCCTAATCGTTCCAATCAGATCTCGGCATTCTGACGTCCCCTCTCGTCTTCACCCCTCCCTCATTTTTGCATTCGGATAGTCGCTACCAGCTTAATTGCTCATAGCCCAGGGTGTGGTCCGAGCACGCAGGTCCCGAGAATTTTATAATCGTCCCTCGGCCAACTAGGCTTCGCGTTTCGCCGTTGAAAACGGCAAAGAACAAATCACGAAGCTCGAAACGCGAACACAGCAAGCCACACCGCACGTTTCTTAAACTGTTAGTCATAATAACAAGGCCTGGTACCGACATTGCGAGTGATATTTTGCTTTCCTTTAGCCTTCATTAAAGCCTGGTCAGTAATCTATAGCTGGATTCCCCGGCGCTACGAACGTCTGTTTCTATTTCTCGCCGTTCCGAGGTGGCTGAAATGCGTGACAATAACCGCTCACTCACACTGGAAGCAGATCCGCGTTCGCAAAGCGGTTGCGAACGCGGTTGTATAAAGATTCAGTACAATTACACGGGCACTTAATGTCATCGAGTGCGCGTGCAATTGTACTGGATTTTTATACAACCGCGTTCGCAACCGCTTTACAAACGCGGATCCGCTTCCAGTGTGAATGAGCGGTAACAGTGCGGACGTTTTACCGCGGACTTATTATATGGACTCTATAGATAATTGATGCACACAACACGCGAATTAAAGTTACCTCTTTCGAAGCGCAGCGCTGATGCGCCATATGTCTCGTAAATTCTTTGACGTATTCGGTGCCCTTCTTGCTCGGAAACTCCAACGGAAGTAATTTGAAGACTCTCGACATGGTGACTGCGTGTGAAGATGAAAAAGTATTGCACGACTGAATTTCTTGCTAAATTGTTTTTATTCGCCAACTGAATAATAAACGTAGAGTGTTGCTTATCATCTTTACGCTTCTTGTATTGTGCGCTAGCCCACTCGGTGGCAGAGTGAGCTAGCTCACACCAGTTCGGAGCACATGGAGCGAAAGCTCGCGCTGCAGATCCCAGGATCCTGGGTTGGTGTTCACTCAGTTCATCCCAAGATACTTCATTCCAGGACATTTCATCCCAGACACTTTATACCAAAGATGTTTGATCACATGTACATTACATGCCAGGATATTTCATACTTTGGAGTGGCTCTCTCACACTTCATCCCCGGATACGTCATCCCAGGAATGTGCATCCCGGGCACTCCATACCGAAGTCATTTCATCCCAAGATGTTTCATCCCAAGACATTCTATGCGAGTGGCATGAAATACCCAGGCACTTCATACCAGAATAATTTGGGGCACCGCACGAGTTGCTGAGCTCGAGCAAGAAGAAATCTTAGACTATTCTTGGCGCACTATCGAAGTCGTCGTTTTCATGTAAAATAGGTCGCATTCCACCGACTGCAGCACTTATTAACGTCATTTTGGGGTTTGCATAGAAGTGCCCACAGACAACTCAGTACTGGACTTCAGAAAAAGCCGGCCCATTCCACTTAGATCCTTTCTTTTCTTTTGTATTCTCCCCAACTCATTCATTCACTTATTTCGATCCCTATTTGCAGTGTTGCTGTAATGGTCAGATTTACTTCTTGTAAAAGTTGTATACCGCAACAAACCGCAATATTGGGGTTTGGTGTCACTTGAAAACCGGCCGAACGGTATATCGTTCTAATACAACATTCACCAGAAATATGAAAATTTAAAACGTTTATTTTACTTTAACCTACCCATAAGAGCAAAACCTTAACGCACCTTCAAAGGCCGAAATTCGGGACAATACGATCTTCAGAGCGCTCAATTCGGGCTAATACAGTCTTCAGAGCACATGATTCGTGCTAATACACTCAAAAATCGCTGAGTACATAGCAGCAGCACGCATAGAGAAAGCTGTGTGCGTCTCTGTTGTTATAGTCATCCAGGATCCGGCATAAACGCTTGTTGGATTGCTTTGCTCGTACTCCTTCTTCGTTTATAGCGGTGTCTCATGACTCACATCCAGCTGGACGGCCATCGCGTTCACACGGACTTGGTCGGAGAGAAGCTCATCCAACAAATTGAATACTGTAGGATGGGATGCACCGATAGAATTTTAAAATACCCGGTGCCAGCTTTCAACGCTATTGTTGGTTCTGCGAAGGCTGACCTCTGTCACGCGCTTGCAATTCCACATGGATATTGGGAACCTTGGGTCCCTGTGGGGTCGACCGACCCAGATAGTCTCAAAGTAGTCTAGGAAGTCTTGGTACTGTTACGTACATCCAAACATGTCCAGCAGCTGTCTTGTGAGCATGCGATCTCTGTTGCAGACGTCGAAAATATCGCAGAAGCACAGTGCGATGAATTTCTTTAGGATGAGGTGGTAGCTGGAGTCATCAATGAATCGCGTGTGCATTCCGAGCTCTTCAATTCGGCGCCCGATGCATTGCGCGAAATAGAATACACATCCATGCACCACGATCGACGTCGGGAATACATTCCCGAAAAGGCATTTTCTTCGGCCTTTTTAAAGTCCATCACTACTATGTGCCCCTGCCGTGGGCTTGAAGTGGCATCGCCAATAGCCTCAAGAAGCATGCGCGTTACTCTTTTATACGTCGCTTCGTGCTCGTTGCACGACCCTGTGGCGCAAGCAGACCGGAAAACGACCTACGACAGATATTAAGAGTTAAGTGTCAAGAAATAACAAATAGAAGAAAATGAGCAGTGGACACACACACAAAAAAGTAGACATTTTTGTTTTGCTTTTCGTATATTTGACCCCGCTAAGGCAAAACGTCGAGGTTATATTTTTTTGTTTTTGTGTGTTGTCAGTCCGGCATTTATTGCTCTCGCGAACACTGTCTGTAAGCGAACATTGATAAGCAGAGAACAGTACAGAAAACGAACTAGGAGTTGGGTGACCTCTCAAAATGCCAACAAAGTGTCCCCCAACGTTGAGTGCTTTTCTGAACGCAACCTACTTGAAGAAGATGCTACCCCTGCCGTGGCTATTATATGGGCTCTCTTTGTTATCCATTCACTCATATCCGTGTCCCAAGTTCGTTTATAGTGAACTCCCCGTATAGGGAATATGGATTGTATAGTTAAACGATGCGTCTAACGTGCGCCGCAGGATGTGATATTCAGCGATGTCACTATTGGCGAAGCGCTCTGACCCGTTTGTCACCCCCGCACCTCGGTGTTTACCCAACACAAGGCCTCTGCACATGCCCACAGGCCTTGCGGGCACGTTCGTGTCATCGTTTTTAATAGAGCGCGGGGCGTAGTGTAATGAAAAAATACCAACAATTAGTGAAGTGACGTTAAGTGCCGCATCTCCCCCGAGAGCAGTCGTCAGAGGATGCGAACTTGACCCACTTGGGCTTTTGTGCTGAGCTGGGCAGGGTGCATGCTGCATTGTTCATGCAGGCCGGAGTGGTAACAAAGGAGCCCCTCCTCCCCCACACCGGAGAACACAAACTCCAGCCGAGCGCTGACGCCGCGTTCGGTTAAGTCAGCCGAGCGCTGAGCCATTGTATTTGTTGTCCGCATCCATCTAGTTCTAAAGTCAACCGCTTGGGGCGCCACGGTCTGACCTCCCCAATAGCTAAAGCGACCTCTGTCTTGTTGTCCCAGAAACGTTTTGTAACATCTATCAGTGATATTGCCAACTGCGTTTGCCCAGCGTGCGCGTGGCCGAATGGTTAACGCGCTTGGCTCTCGCGCGGAGGCTCTCGCGCGGAGTCTCCGGGTTCGATACCAGAAAGCAGACTTCTATTTTATTTATTTATTCAACTTGACATTCTGGTAAGTTCGAGAATTTCGTCGTATGATCGAGTTTCGAATGTTCTACGCGCCGCAGTTTCTACGCCGAATGTTCCAGAAACACACGCGAAAACAAAAGGTGCTCCGGGTGGCGGTCCGGAGTCAGTCTCGCCCCAGCGGTCGATCCTGCTGTTTCGCCGACATCGACGCCTGCGACGCTAGCCTTTGTCTCTTTTATTTTGGAAACAAGTTCGCCCCATTAAACGTTTAGTTTCTTCAGTTATTCGCCGCCTTATCATTCATCATTCGTGACAATATTTTGCTCCTTATAGTCGGACTGCATAAAATAGCCCTACGATACTTTTTTTTTTCCGTTTTGTGTTGCGTGCTAATAAACCATTCTGGTAACCCAGATTTGCGTATCTGCATAATTGTCGTTGTCAATGACGTCGATACAAATTAAGCAATGCGGAAGTATCTTCAAAAGTAACTCAAATACATTTCTAAGTATCTGTACCATACCCAAGATCAGACTTGCACCGAACGCATTACAAGTAATCAAATTACCTGTAATCGATTACTTTTTCGAGTAATTTGGAATCTGTTTATTACTTTTATTAGGCAGTAATCACAAGAGTTATCTGATTACTTTTTGAAGTAATAAAATTACTTGTAACCGTTACAATTTGTCTACAAAACTCTCTCCCCCCCCCCCCCCCCCCCCCCGGCACACGCCTTTTTTTATGAATTGACAAAAATAAAATTTGACTTTTTTTTTTTCGAACGGAAAAAAGAACGATTTTTGCGGAGCTGTAGGAACCGAGGTCAATCTCTTTCTATGGACACTTTCTGTAGAATGTCCGTTTTTCTTTTTTCGAGCTGGGACTGGGAGTGGGAAGCCCCAGGGAAGCCACAGCGCGTGACAAAAGCCATTCAGGGCGAAGTTTGATGAAGCAGAATGTAGCTTTGTGAGTCCTTCGTTCAAACTAGCCCCCTCACGCACACACACACAGAAATAAAAAAAAAATGAAAGAAATCCTGCTTAGGGTACCTACTCGCAGCCCGTAGGAGAACCAGAACCGAAGAATGCCTAAAGCGGAGGCAAAACATAACAAAGGCAGTTGAAATATTTCCCCATTTCCCCTACGTGGTCTTTGCGACAAGCAGGGATGGGCAAAATACGTGCAAATATGTATCGAAATACAAATACAAAATACTTCGTCAAAAAGGTATTTAATTACAAATCTAATTACATTTCCAGAAAAGCATTTAAATACAAAATATAAATACAACCAAATGTATTTGGTCTCCTCCAAATACTTTTTCAAATACATTCCTCAAAATTTGCGTCAGCGACTTCAGGGCACCTGCAACGGGTTTCTGGGTATCTCATTTTAATTTTGCATCGCACGCTCGGGAGTTAGTGTGCGATACTCTAGTAACGTAATAGAACTATAATCACAAAAAATGCAATCAGCTTGGATGTAATAGGTGACAAAAGTACAGAGCTTCAAGCAGCTTTTCTTGTCGATTGCATTTTGGTATAGACCAACAAAGAACCGAAACGACCAAGACGCGCAGCACTAGCCCGAGAATTTTTTTATTGTTGCAACTCGCACCAGTTACGAAAATGTGGACGACCCGCGCATTTAGAATGTTCCAGGTAAAAATATGGATGGAAATCAGGCTGGAAAGCATCACAAGTTGTCACAGGCATTTATTTAGCCAGTTTGCCTGTGAACGTCGATTTCTTCACTATTCTTGCCCTGGACTAGCACCGTAATCACAAAGTCACTAAACGCTTGTGCTTGATTGAAAGACATTGCATTCGGTTAAGAACGTAGTTTTCTTCCTGCTTTGGACACGTCTTAGAATGAGCAAAATGAGTCGTGGCAATAAATTTGAGGGATGTATTTTCGCCCACAAAATTGTATTTAATTACAATTGTATTTGAAATACCCACGTTTTGGTATTTAAATACACACGTCAAATACATTACCCAATTTGTAATTAAATACAAATGTAAAATACACAAAGTATTTGAAATACGTATTTCACATACTTGTATTTGAAATACTGCCCATCCCTGGCGACAAGCAATGTTTCGAGTTGAGAAGTGGTTGGGGCGATCTCTTCCGCTAATGGATACTACACATGATCCGTTTTAAATCCTGGAGCTACTGCTCTTTTGTATAACATACGACCTCATCCACATGTGAATAATAAAATGAGCGACGCAAACTTTGAGCGACAACCCTTGCTCAAGCTTAACAAGATCTAGAACCCCATCCGTTCCCAACCCCCCCCCCCCCCCCCCACACGCACACACACTGGCGAACGCCCAAATCATTAAACGTCTTCAAACGAATTCTATGCTTGTGTCCGCATTCTGAAGGCGCAACGACCACGAAGAGGGAGCCAGTTTTTCTTCTTCAATACTTGTGCAAATGTGAAGTATAGGTTGGAAGTAGTTCATTGTTATGAGCGCTAAAGATGTGTCTTCACACAGTAATGTAATCGGAAAAGTAACGATTACTTTTTTAAGTAATGTCCAATTACTTTTGCCGTCGAGTAATCAAGTAATCTAATCGAATACTTTTTAGCCAAGAGTAATAGTAATTGTAATCGATTACTTTTTTTTAGTAACGTGTACTAGACTGCTCAAGATGCTTTGCAGTGAAAGTAACTTGAGTAGTATTTTAAATACTTTATGACGCAGGTATTAGTAACTTAACTTAAATACTTTTATCGAGTATTTTGTCCAACACTGGTTTGTCCAACACTGGTGACAATATAAGAAAGACGAAGTGCATATACCGGCTCTGCGCGTGAGAAACCGACTTTATAACTTATTCTTCTAGGCAGAAGACATTGTGGTATAAAATATCCAGGTATGAAATGTCCTTTGTATGAAACGTCTTGGGAGGAGACATCTGGAGATAGACCGTTTGTGGGATAAAGCGTCAGGGATGAAAAGTCCTGGGATGAAATGACCTGGGATGAAGTGAGGGGCCCTTGAATCGGCTGAACCGTATGGACTATTCTGGCATCAAATGTCGTGGTATAAATTGTACATGGGATTAACTGTTTTGGGGTGAAACATCCTGGAACGAAATTACTTTGGTATGATGTGTCTGATGAACTGTCCTTGGATGAAGTGACTTGGGATGAAGTGTGGTAGAGCCCCTGAGTTCAATCCCCACCCCTGCCCGTTTCGATCTAAATGAGTCTCGTACCGGCGTGCGGTCGTGTACCACTACTGCGTGGTTCACGTTAAAGACCCCAGGCTAGCGGTTGTTCCGCACTGGCTAAATTGCTCATCTACAGCTGAGACACCAAACGCCCACTGAGGCAGACTGACTTGCGGCTGCAGAAACATACACACAACAATTTGCTTGTATTGTACCTTGTCCTTCGACGTTCTTACCGGCTAATGCTGGAATCTCATAGGTTGCTGCGTGATAATAATCTGCTCACGACTCGCTACGCTCCACAACCCCCCCCCCCCCTCCCCGTTCGCAATATTTCAATAATCTTTGGCGCAGTCTTCTCCAAGTTACTTACAAAACGTTTTTGATTGCAACTACTCTCGGTTAAAAAGTATTCAATTAGATTACTTGGTTACTCGAGAACAAAAGTATTGGCCATTGCTCGAAAAGTACCCTTTACTTTTCCAAATTACTTCGCGTTTTCAGAACTACAGATTTTTCCGTCGGTTCGGAGACGTGTCTTTTGTACTGTTTATTATTGGATTAGAATCACTGAATTCCAAACCACACAAGTTCATATCCACCAAGTTTGGTCAACCATCCTCCTGTTGGAGAGTTAAAGGGACCGTAAGACGATTTTGAAATCGAATGTCATCCATTGCACGTCGTAAAACGTGTGAAAAGAAAACGAAAACACAAAAATAGAGAGCCAACCCATTTTTTTCGCCATAGAACTTTTAAAAGAAAAGCGGACTCCTTTCAAAAGCTCTCTGCTTTTGCACTGCGATGCATCCCCACTACCAAAGTACGTCAGCCACATCCACGTCACCTATTGGATAAAGCTCTATACCAACTAGCTCACCAATTCATTTTATAAAAAATCGATTTCTTGTAATCAGTACCGTACGAGTCTGCTGTTGCGATACCGCCTGATAGGAGCGCACTATGTGAAGGTCGGTAGTATTCCTTCAACTCCGGCGTGCGGATTATAGATATTTTTATTTCCCGGCCGGTAATGACAGCAGTGCCTGGAAGCGTTTCATTGTCAACTGAAAATCTACCACTTAACACCATATTTCATAATAAGATTTTTTTTCCTGTTGTTGAGTTCCCACGTTGATTTTTTGCCTTGCTTTGCTGGGCTTCTGAACATCGATTTATTGCCTTCAGAACGTTTACTAAGAAATTAGAGTGTAAATACATAAATTCCTAGCCATCTCTTTTTATATATCCTCTGCTCGCGTAAAATGACGTAATTTTAAAATTATTATTTTCTACTTTCCTAGATCCACCTACAGCATGCTCAATAAAAAATCTTACTCGCGTACATTTTTAGCTTTTAGAATATAAAGATATCCCCCCTGTGACACTAAGAATGTACGCGTGGGACCAAACTCCGCCTCTTCAGATAATAGAGACAAGCTGCGATAATTAGGAGCCGGTTATTCTAAACAGCGCATCGGTTCCACATTAGTGCAGAAACATTTAAAGAAAAACGCAGGTAACTATAAACGTTATAATGAAAAACGTATCAGAACAATAGATATTTATGAAGTCACTTCGGCACTTAAAGGGGTCCAGAAGCCACTTTTCGAACAAAGTTGTTTACTTCTATTTTTTCGTGAGCGGACAATATGTTTAAATTAAAAGAGGCTCTTGAAGCAGCACATGATAATGGGGTTCTGAACTCGTCCATCTGTCATTTTATATTAATATTTACGATAGTTGGCCTGCATATATAAGATTTCAATAAAACTCACACAACAAGATCATCTTCCATCCACCCAGGTTTCTGAAAAATCCCTTGCTGCATATTACCAAAGGATGGTCGAGATTTTCGTGGGTGTTCAAGTCTAGAGAGTAGACCAGGGCTGCCGTTGTATCCATGGCGTATGACTCGAACATTCTGCGAGGGAAATATATCAGGTTATTTTAGAAGGAGACATCACGACCCATTTATCCAGATTACGTAAACATTTTTTTTTTCATTTTCAACTTGTCACAGATTTATGATTACATTAAAGTATATGCGTACTTGTTCTGTAGATTATCAGGCATTATAAGCGGTTGTTTCATGGTATGTTCACAGCAGTCTAGAAGTTGCAGTTATGTCGATAACTGCAGTTATCGACACACTGAAATAAGGTATGGAACATACCAACGTGTTCATTACAAGTTTTTTTTTTTTGCGCCATCTAGATACCGTGTACGTTTAAATGGATATTTTATATCCCCACCAAAAATAGTTACTGCTTTCTGCTCACACTTTATTGCATACAGAGTTTTATATTAAACAATGTTACTTTTTCTCGATTATTATTAAATATGTTCACAAAGAACTGGGCGAGAAGCGGCTAGCTTCTCTTACACAAATCAAAACTTGAAGGTGCCACTCTATGAAGGGACTCGTCCGGTCAATATGATAAACATGTAATTTATATATTTGAATATTTTAACGTGCCATATCGACGTGGGCCAGAGACTTACTCGGAAACTTCAACAGCACCTGTCTTTTCTCCTTCCAGCAGCAGTCGTTTGCAGAATTCGTCGGACGTAGCGATAAGTTTTGGAATCATCTACGAAACCCAAGGACATTTTTAAATTAAAAAATCCAGCTCCCACTAAAATAAAACCTATTTATATAGGTTGAATCGGCCATCTAGTATGCTGAGTTTTACATTAATTTCAAGAGCAACCGCCCAAGTTTCTTTGCCGCTGTTTCTTCCCAAGATGTTCAGCAACCGTCACTATGACGGGATAGGACCAATGGGGGCTGAAAGAGCCTGGTCACGGCAATCGCTGTCTTTCTGCGTTTCCAGTCACCGGCTAAACTTTGGAGATAGGAAGGTGAAGCCAGAAGTGTGTATCACGTGTGGGCCTACGATGACCAACGGAAGGTGAAGCCAAGTGTGAACCAACGATGACCACAGCTGTTTTTGGTCACCCCTCGTGTGCTCCCCTGAGTGACCAAAAACAGCTGTGGTCATCGTTGGGGGCGTGTCCCTCCACGCTTATGGCTTCACCTCTGGCAACATTACTAGAACTCTCAGTCGGAAAACTCGCCGTCGAAACCTGGGCCGCTGGCGTCCACCGAGACCGAGCTAAATACGACAACAGCGCCACTCTTTATCATTTGTCTGTACTGTGGTCACCTTGAGCTTTTAGAAAGCACGTTTTTGCGTAAAAACAAACGGAAAAGACTCTTTTTGTTTTAGATTTATTGGAGTTTAATACAAAATGAAGGACGCGTGATGTTTTTTTTTTAAATCTTTAGTTTGCAAGGCTTTGCGGCACAATTAATATTGTTTTTATACAACTATGCCTCAGCGGTGCTTTCAGATAGCGCGTCCCGATCTAGGTGCATTTTAACTTCGATATTACGATGCGGCGCGTCCGCTGGGGAGACGGGGGTGGCACCCCTATAACCTCTTCCGCTGTATCTGTTTCGGTCCAAAATGGTCGATTAAAGCCAAAATAGACGTCACGTGCAGTTCCTCGAGTGGCCGCTGCGGGAGAAATGATGGCGTTGTGTTCGCCATTAGCTCGGTGCTCGAGGACAGATCGGGGACACTTTTTTAGAGTAGTCTCTATGGCAGTTTCCCAACTGACTGATTTAGTAACGTTGACCTCTGGTTACGTCATATCACCTCCAGAAGCTGCCTACCTCTGTGGGCTTGAAGGATCACGCGCAATGAATGAGATCCTGCGCTTTCTTTTGTGCGTGATATGACAGCAAGTGCACAAAAACGGCAAGCACCGTGACGATGGCCCTTTATTTGACTGAAGCAGACTGTATGCAATAAACAGCTATAGCTATCGCTCGCTACATTGAATCGCAATGGTAAAAGTTTCAGCACACGTGATATTGACGAGGTAGTGACTATTTCGATGTCCACTGTCGAAATGATATGACTTTTATTTTGACGTCTGTGCCTCACAAACCTATCACTCTTGACAACTTACGACCGATCTCCCTCACATCCTGTGTGGGCAAACTTTTTGAACATCTGGTGACTCGCCGTCTAACGGACTTCCTAGAAGACACCAATCAGTTACCTCACACCATGCTCGGGTTCCGCACTCACCTATCAGCGCAAGACGTCCACCTCCAACTCAAAGAACGGATTCTCGACTGCCTCAGCAAAGTACATCCCAGTTCCGTCCTTGCTCTCGAAATACAAGGCGCGTTCGATAACGTCACTCACACAGCCATTCTCGGCCAGCTTCAAACCACGGGTTGCGGGTCTGCCACATATAACTACGTGAGAGCCTTTTTGACAGAACGAACTGCCACTCTCCACATTAGCCCTTACCAGACAGAGACCTTTCACACACCGGCAAAGGTACTCCCCAAGGCTCAGTAGTCTCACCACTACTTTTCAATATAGCGCTCGTGGGACTCCCGACTTTGCTTGAACAAATTCCCCACGTGTCGCACGCCTTATACGCAGACGACCTCACCATATGGTCCAACACAGGCTCTCCCGGACAACAGCAAGACAGTCTTCAACAGGCAATCGACACTACGCTCCAATATCTCCAAACCTGTGGTCTCTGCTGCGCCCCATCAAAATCCGCCTTACTCGTCCTCCGAGCACGAACCCGGGGCCGCCCACCCAACCCTACCCCGGACCCTTCCCTTTCTCTCAACGGGCAAGCCATCCCCACCGTCAAGACCCTCCGCATCCTAGGAGTTCACTACCACCACGACGGCTCCGGGGCCGCGTATCTCCCCAAACTTATACAGACAGTCTCCCAACTTACACACCTAATTCAACGAATATGCTCTCGCCGACACGGACTCAAGGAAACAGATAACTGCCGCATCCTTCAAGCAATGCTGATCAGCCGCATCACCTACGGGGCACCCTATCTTACTTTAAAACCACAAGAACATGCCAAGATTGATGTCCTAATCCGCAAATCTTATAAGACAGCCCTCGGCCTGCCTACCTTCACTTCTACCGACCGCTTATTGAAACTGGGTCTACACAACACCCTCTCGGAGATTATTGAAGCCCATCTCCAAAACCAACTGCAGCGCCTACAACTCACACCCGCCGGTCGTCATTTGCTCAAAACGCTAGGCCGGAAGGTGGTACAAACTCCGGACTCGCCACAACGCATACCTCCGTCAATGCGACGCAACATCCATGTCCTTCCCATTCCGCGTCATATGCACCCTACATACAACGCCGGCCGTCGTCAGCATCGCACCCGCCTCCTCATCAGAAAATACGGCAGCGACCCGACCACCCTCTATACAGACGCCTCTCCCTATCCTCAACGACCAGCTCACGTCGCTACTGTTGCCCGCATCGACAATGCCTTCCTCACCTCAGCAACCGTCTGCACAGCGTCTACTACCACGGCCGAAGAAGCAGCCATTGCCCTCGCAATGACCCAAGCCACGAGTCCCAGCATAACAATAATGTCTGACTCACAAGCTGCCTGCCGTCGCTTTGCACTCGGACGAGTCTCAGCTCTTACCCTGGCCATCCTTACTCAATGCCCCACCCTCCCTCATGCCCGCATAGTGGACACCCAGCCACACTGCCCTCCCTGGGAACGAGGTGGCACACGCCACCGCCCGAGCTCTCCTTCACCGGGCATTCCCAGAAGAGGCCAAGAACGCAGCCAGCATTGCCAACTCCCTTACGCCCCTCTCCCAAACATACGCTAACATCCTCTACCACTACAGAGCAACCCGACGCACCTATCCCCCTCCCCACCCTTCCCTTTCTACCGCTGACGCCCGCATCTGGCGCCGACTTCAAACCAACACGTATTACAATCACCTCCATCCCCACCACATCTCTCCTGCCAACTACCCACTGAACTGCCCCCAATGCGATGAGCCCAACACCACAGCTCATCTCGTCTGGACGTGCCCCACCAACCCTCCACCACCCAGATCCCCTACCCTTGAGCAGTGGGAGTGCGTGTTGCAGAGCTGCCAGCTCGAAGACCAGGAGGCCCTGATCTCTCGGGCGAGGATGGCAGCCGCGGCACGCGGCCTACCGGAATAGGATGGCCGCCCACAGCTCCTAACTCTTTTCTCCCCTACCCCGTTCCTGTTGTTTCAATAAACGTTTTCTCTCTCTCTCTCTATTTTGACACCTCCCGTCAAACTTGCCACCGAAAACAAGAGGGGAAGGTTTGGAGTTTCGAACTGGAATGTATCTAAAGTGGCGATCAAATCGTATTCACCTTGCTTGCAGTCGACGTCGCGCATTTTTCGGACAACAAATGCCACGCAGTCGACTGCAGCTTTTGTAACCATATAGCCGAAAAGACTTAAAAATATACTTCGCGTAACATTTACTTGGTTGCTAAACGTCACCGAATGTGGTATTTATTGCACGCTATTGATAATAGACAAAAGGAGTTATGAATCTCTCCAAAAATCGGGTCATAAATATTGCAGTCGATTGCAAAACCTTTGGTGTCCGAAAATGCGTGTTAAACCGCGGCGCAGTTTTGCTCGGTGAGTCCGAAGCTTCGTTGTTCGTTTGTGCCGGTCATAAAACATCAAGGAGGCAATATTAAAGTTTTCAAGACTATATTTAACGTCCCGATCACTTAGTCAACACGAAAAAAAACGATCTAAACGAAACGAAAGACCCACGAACTAGTTGCAAAGTTCTCAACCATTAATTGAAGACGCGCTCGCACGGCATAGTGGAGACGTGGATGTACAAGAATTATTCATAACCCTCAGTGGTACACGTAGCTTACGCACTTAAACTTTTTAACTGAAGACAAAATACAGAGATGTCCATCACGTGTTTGTTGTGGACTCAAAATTCACTTTCAAGGCCCACAAACACGTTGGAGCGCGGACGGCGTCCTTGAAGCAGGAACGGGCTGCTTGCGCTACAAAGCGCGCGCACGCGCAGCGCTCTGCAATGGCAGAGATGGCAGTAATGACATTACTGTAATGTAATTACAGTAATTAAATTACTTCTTGAAGTAATGAGTAATGTAATGAACTACTTGTCTAGCCTAGTAATTTAGTAATGTAATGAATTACTTTCAGGCAGTAATTTCGAGAAAATTACTCATTACTCTTAAAATTATTTTTATACTAAATTAGAAAGTTCGTCTGCAAGCTTTGTGGGAGCAAGAGTCTCCCACCACGGCCAGAGGCCGCTGCCGAATTCCCAAACTGGACAACGGCCGAGGCGCGCAATATCGCACGTATAGGACAGGCACAGAAGCCTATAAAAGAGGGCACACGCCCACAGAAAGGGGAAGACGGACCGTGGCCATGGAGGCGTGCAGTTCGAACGCTCCGGCAATGTTTTACGTTGATACTAACAATCCATTCCTGTTACTTTAATAAATATAGTTTCTCGTTTTGGAAACCCCGGCTTCGTGTTGTTCCTCCCAGATGGGCATGCAGCAAGGCAACCCTACCACAGCTTTAAAAAAATAGAACAATTATTTTGCATGGTGAAATGTTGTGAAAGAGCATTAGAGGAAAGAAACGACGGCCACCTGAGCGCGAAGCCTTGCACGAAGAGCAGGACAGACGCACAAAGGAGGGCTGGAGAGGCGAAGGAGAAAAGCTTAC